TTGGTGACTTAGGAGCTCCGTCGTGTCGATGTCGGAGTACGGACGCTCCACTTGTTGGATGGGGGAATCCAGTAGTTGGATGGTCAGTATCAGCGGAGGGAGTTGTGCCTCCGATATCGATACTGCAGTTGAAGCGGGAGGCACTATAGGGGCATCACCCAGTGCAGGCACCCCTTCCTTCCCCTTCTTCGCCGCCTTAAGGGACTTGGAGGTGCCCTTCTTCGCGGACTTGTGAGCCTTACTTGCCTTAGCCTTCTTTTTGACTGGCGTGGAAGCGGACGATTGTGCCTTCAATGTCGATAGCTTTGGCGTCGGGCGGTCGACATCGGAGGCAGGTCTCGATGCCGGAGCTGTCGATGTTGACGGTCTATCCTCCATTGCTGAGGCAGGAGCAAGGGCCGATTCAAGCAGCACCACTTTAAGGCGCGCAGCACGTTTATTTCTCGTTTGGTTGGAGAAACGTGCACAGTGGCGACAGGACTCTGGCTGGTGAGACTCTCCGAGGCAAAAAATGCAGAGGGTATGGAGGTCGGGAGGAGCAAGTTTGCTACCGCAACCCCTGCACCTATTAAAAAATCCCCACTTCTTCTCCATAAAAGAAAAGAAGATGAGGGAACGTTTGAGGGGGGAGGTAGCCCGAAGGCGTGAGGTAAACTCCCCTCAATCGAAAGCAAAAAAAAAAAATTAAACTGTTTTTGAAGAAGAAACAAACAAAAAATAAAGTAAGAGAAGTTTGGGAATAATTCCTAAGAGCTGTGAGATGAGCTAACAGCGAACCGATCAGACCGACGAAGAAGAGTTCTACTCAATGTGGCGGTAAGAAAGGAACTGGCGGGATGTCCACGCCCTCCCCTTTGGGCATGCGCGGTGGGGTTCCTGCACATGCCTGAGGGACTGGGTGTGAAAATCCGTTAAAAGAGCTTGCTACAGGGCTTCCGGTTTGGCTCCCGCGCATGGCGGACGCTTCCTCGGGTCGCTCCCGAGGGCGCCTCGCCCGCCCGCGGTGGAGGAGGGAATCCGCGCGAGCGGAGACCCGAACGA